ACAACTAAACCCGGAATAATTATTCGAAGGTTGTACAAAATATTTCTCTCGCGAAATTCGAATCCACGGCTTTCAACGCCGCAATCAAACGGTTAACCGCTGCGACAATATGACTCCAATTTAATAATACAAATTCTTTAAAAGTAACCTATAAATAATATGTTTAAATTCAAGCTTTTCTTAATTAAGAATTCATCGAGTTTTATAAGTAAATTCAAATATGGTACGTTATTCTAAAACTCCATCACAATTATTCCTTTTGCCTGAGATGTTACATTAACAAATATCTGCAAATTAGTTTATTAATTTCGAACTCTAAAGTATAATCATTTCTTCTTTGACGTGCCTTAATTAACATGTCTCAAAGGATCGGATTAAATAAATTTTGAGATGAGATTTGTTAAAACTTGGATGGTCTGAGCATATAATTTAAATACATATGAATATTCATTAAATACGCTAACGAAAACGAATATAGTGGAAGTGAAAAAATATCCACTACGCCATATCATCACGTGGGTGTTGTAAGAAGTGACAGAGGGGCAGCAGCATCATCCTGTTAATCTCCATCTGACAAGAGAGACAAGCAGCCGAAGTTCAGCAGTAGAATTCTACAAGCTCTAACGTGTGAATGGACAAAAAAGTTTGTAGTTATCTTGTTGTAGATTAGCCAGACGTAAAATATATACCAGCGACAGGATTAAGCGTCAAAGGTTCGTTTCGTGTGGTGAATGCAAAGAACCGGAGACCTCTTTTACTGGAAACGAGGCATCCCATCTTAGGGATCGGTGACGCTTTTGCATTTGGATTTTTAATCGAGGATGTCTCCCGGCTACAATATACTACATACTGTGTAGATCGGAACAAAAGTTAAATTTTAATCTATGGTAACCGCGGTTAACTGTGACAGCTGGACGTTGAACATCTCAGTCCTTCCCGTGACCATGGGTGCTGTAAAGCTCTCGAAACGTCGGGTAAAAAAGTTAAATATACGCGATAAATTCCGTAAAAATTAGTATTATTTCAATGTGTAGTGTTCGCGTAAGTATAAGAAATCATTATGTAAACCAGTACGGACTGGTAATTGCAAATAAAATACGCCGATTAGAAGATCTAAAGACTAAGCGCGTAAGATATCTAACAGCCTTAAATTTCTTGAAGAGATGCCGAGACCGTAATCTCATTCCTACGTGTGTCAAAATATCCACCAAAAACGACATTCGAGGAAGCGCTAAGATCTTAAATCAGGCAAGTAAAAAGTTGTTACGGGCGGTAATCCAACAAAAACGCTCCGATCTATATGACATAAATAAATCCATAGACATATCATCCAGTGAATTAAAGAAAGTTTTAACGACGTTTGATTATAACTTTTGCATGGAAACATTAAATAAACGCGAAATTAGTAAATATAACGAATGCAAAAACAAACATATAGAAAAATATCAAAAATTAACGGCCAAATCAAATGTCAAACATCCGAATCAATGCCAGAACCAAAAGCAACCATTGACAAACACAGATCATAGATAAATTACGCTATAACTCCAAGCAGATTACCGTACGAAGAAATTATCTGTAGTGTCGAGGACTGTTTATTTAAAAACAATATGCGGAAAGAAGATTTGGAGGCGATACGTCAAGACATTTCGTCTATGTTACGTCGATGTTCAGTGCCTAAACCGAATCTTCCCAGAGACGAATTTATAGCGTTAAAGAACCTACGCAATAAACCAGAACTTACGATTCTCCGCGCAGATAAGGGAAACGCCACGGTGGTCATGGATACGTCAGATTATAATTCTAAAATACAAGAACTTTGTCGGATGTAAGTACTTATAAAAAGGTTAAAAACGACCCAACAAACAGCACACTAAAAACAACTAGTGACCTCATAAAGAAACACTCCGAAAAAATTAAATCTGGACGTAAAATGGATAATACCTACGTGCGCCAAATCACCAAAGTTGTATGGGTTACCAAAAATACACAAGCCCAATGCTCCATTACGCCCCATAGTGAGCCAAATCGATTCACCAACTTACAGATTGGCTCAACACTTAGCGAAAATACTCTCACCGCTCAGGGGACATGCAAGAGCACACATAAAGGATTCCTACCATTTTGTCAGCGAGATTAAAGACCTACGTCTGGCAGACAATGAAACTATGGTCAGTTTTGATGTGCAGTCATTGTTTACATGCTTACCTGTTGAAGACTGCATCTCAATTGTAACTAGAAGGCTGGAAGAAAACAACATGCCCGTAGAATGTGCAGTATTACTCAGACACTGCCTTACATCTGGCTACCTATTGTGGAAGGAGGAGTTCTACAAGCAAGTAGGTGGTGTGGCGATGGGCTCACCTGTATCTCCCATTGTCGCCGACATATTCATGGAAGACTTTGAGGAGAAAGCCCTGCTTACTTCTCCCATAAATCCAAGATTCTACAAGCGGTACGTAGACGACACTTTCACAATTCTACCTTTAGATAAAGTAACTGCATTTTTAGACCATCTTAACTCTATAAATACTAAAATTCAGTTCACAATGGAGTTAGAGGCAAACAATTCCTTAGCTTTTCTAGATGTGTTAGTAATTCGGAATCCTGATAACACCTTGAGCCATACTGTGTATAGAAAAAAGACCCATACAGATAGATATTTAAACGGTGATTCTCACCACCATCCTTCACAGTTAGCTACCGTGGGTAAATCTTTGTTTCAGAGAGCACGAGGGATCTGTGACAGTATACACCTGGCTGCCGAGCTCCAACATGTCAAGCAAGTTTTGCATGACAACAAGCTTCGGGTCCCGCGCCTACGTCACAGAGAACGAGTGAAGCCGGCCACAGTCGAGCGTGTACCTGCTGTACTGCCATATGTTAGAGCAGTCACTGACAAGATTGGCTACATCTTGAAGCGCGCTTCCATCAAAAAATACTTCAAGCCGCCGAAGAAGATTGGTCAGTTTTTACCATCAGTCAAGTGTAACGTCCCTCTGCAAGATGCAGGAGTGTACAAGCTTGATTGTAAATGTGGTCTCTCCTACATAGGACAAACTAAAAGATCAATTAAAACCCGCGTCAAAGAACATATAGCTGATGTGAAGAATCGACGCTCCGGGAAGTCTGCAGTCTGTGAACATGTACAGGATCGCCCCCGTCACTACATCAGATTTGATAGACCACAAATCCTCGCTAAAGAACACCGATTCCTTCCATGGATGATTCGCGAGGCTATTGAAATCAAAAAACATCCTGATTTCAATAGAGAAGATGGCTGGGTGCTACCATCTGCTTGGGATCCTATAATAAATAAAATTAAATCCCAACCCAAGCATACAACTGCAAGACTCCATGATACCATAAGTTCATACTGTGTAGATCGGAACAAAAGTTAAATTTTAATCTATGGTAACCGCGGTTAACTATGACAGCTGGACGTTGAACATCTCAGTCCTTCCCGTGACCATGGGTGCTGTAAAGCTCTCGAAACGTCGGATAAAAAAGTTAAATATACGCGATAAATTCCGTAAAAATTAGTATTATTTCAATACAATATACTATATTCAGTGTGCTGTGTGCTCGATTGTAACCTTTATTTTGCATAAAGTTGCACCTTTAGAATATGGAAATCATAATAGTTATTCGTCTTTAATTGTATCTATCCTTACCTACCCTCAACTGTCATCATCTTGTGTGTATAAAGGGTTGTCAGGAAGAAATCGCTTCCAGAGCGGTTAGAGCTCCTATTGTAATTATAGATGGAGTGACGACCTCGTAAGACATGCAGGAAGTCGATGGATGCAGGTGGCTCAGGACCGTGCTTTGTGGCATTACTTGGGGGAGGCTTATGTTCAGCAGTGGACTTGATAAATGTACTAGCTTGCCAGGCAGACATTTTTAAATTTGATTAAAATCAGTTAAGTAGTTTATGAGTCTGTGGCGGCGCTGTCGTCGCGTCACAAGCGAAAATACACCGAAGTCTAAATCACGCAATCAATATTCCGAATCAGAAACAGTATATATAGAACATCTCCGAACTATCACAAGGAGTGTTGGCCGCTCCCCGGGCAGAACACCTTGCCCGGCGGGAAATCTCCCCTTTTCCTACTCCGGCCACAGTGGTGACCATCCGACGTGATCTGAACACGCAACCAAACAACCTTCGGAAACTTCAAGCTTCATCATCGTCATAGAATACCCCACCCATTCGCTCCCGAGCAGATATCGTCTGCAGTCTTCATATCCTGTAAGCCATCTAGCTTCACAAGGTTCATCGCAGCACTGGAATAATAATGCTTCCTGTTCCTTCAAGCTACTCTCTGCGCTATACAGTGTTCGGCATGGCTCTGAGCCTTACTGCTCGCCTCTGCTTCACGGCACTCTCGCAGATTACTTGCCTTCTTCTCGACTCACCGCAGACTACAAGGCACTCTTCTGGTACTTGCACATTCGTCGACAACGAGACTGCACTATCGACCTCCGGTCTGAGCAGGGGGGTGATGTGGCGGCGCTGTCGTCGCGTCACAAGCGAAAATACACCGAAGTCTAAATCACGCAATCAATATTCCGAATCAGAAACAGTATATATAGAACATCTCCGAACTATCACAAGGAGTGTTGGCCGCTCCCCGGGCAGAACACCTTGCCCGGCGGGAAATCTCCCCTTTTCCTACTCCGGCCACAAGTCCATTGCGGACAAACAACGTGACACGTAGTTTATATATATATATATATATATATATATATATATATATATATTCAATCAGTATATTTTTAGTACACCAATATACATTTGAATGAGATAATACGTATATATATATATATATTTGGTGTACTAAAAATATATTGATTGGTTAATAATCATTATGTTCATTTCTCCTCATAAAACAGACCGTACATAATAAAAGTTATATCATTAAAATATCAAAACGCTCGCTGCCTGTTAATACCAGATGACTAAATCTAGCACATCTTCAACTGCATTTGATTACATAATGAATAGTAATAAAGTTAACCCTAAATCAGATATTATAAAAATGTATAGAGTCTGGGTAAGGCTATACACTACGTCATAAAATGGGATTTCACACATAGAACAGTGTTTGACCGTCTATTTTAGGTGACCTCAGAAAGGAGGAGCATTTCAATAAAAGTGTATGTCATTTTTTGTATGCAATTTACATTCTACAGCATCATTTGTTGACCCATTTTAATGATTTCTCTTTTCATAAATAGTAGGTGATAGGTACCACATGATTTTGAATATTATTTTATAGACTAAGGGGACAAACGCTATGTTAGTCGATGCTGTGGCCCATGGACATCTACATTTATCTTCGATTAAGAGTCAAAACGCAGATGCGTTGTCAACCCTGAGCCTGCTGAACTGCCTCGTTTCTGGTAAAAAAGGGTCTCCGGTTCTCTACACTAACCATACGAAACACAGCAGAACTAAGCTGCTATTTTACGCTGGTATTCTGTGAGAGCGTGGTCCTTCCCCGGTCGAGCCGACCCATTCATACTACAGCTATGCTACTAATATAACTGCAGCATGGCTCTACCACGTATAAGATTTCAGTATTCAGTATAAAAGTGCAGTATTAACCGTACTACGGCGGTCACTGTTGTAGGTAACATTAAATTGGTGGTGTAATGGGAGCTATTTCTCAATCTACATCTTGTAGCGAGGCGCTAAGGTCGCGATCGGCGTGTGGCGTCACCGGCGCCAGTGCATCCCACACAATGGTGCCCATTCACAAGCTCATTAACGCTTGATTTATTCATAGTCATGCCATTTACGAAACTTAACATACGAAAATGTATGGTGAAGTGGTCAACTGAACAATTTTTAATGTACTAGCTTACGGTTACAGACTATCACGTCCACAACTGAACATAGGCCTCCCCTACAGATATGGTACACACCCCCCTCATAGGTGGATGTGTCCCATAGTTGCGCGCCAAGCAGGCGAGTTGGCAAACGTATTTTTTTATTTTTTCGTTCTTTACAAAGCTAAAAATGTTAAAGTAACAGCCTATATACGTCCCCTTTCTGAGTACAGTCCTCCGCTCATTTCTGAGAGGGCTTTAGGCCAGTGAATTGTCCGCCGCGCTGCCCCAATGCGTGTTGGCGAACTTTACATGACTTCGAAATATTATTTTTTTGTTATTTCTCAGACATGCAAGTTTCCTCACGATGTTTTCCTTTACCGCCGAGCGTGTGGTAAATCAGCACTTAAAATTGCATTTAACAATTTCATTGGTTGCGGCGGGGATCGAACCCGGTAAGCTTGCGTAGGTACTGTGAAATTTACAGCGAGCGCTAACCATCTGAGCTACCACGACTCTTTTTTTTAGTTGTTTATATTAATTTTTAATTATTCTATTTATTTATTATTGGAAGACGCTGTTGTCCATTTTCTGGTTTGTTTTCCTATATCGTCTCTTATGATACCCACGGGGCGATGTGGGGTAGGGGATACTCTTACATCAAATCAAATGACACTGTGGTCAAATAATCCTCCTGCGTGCATTGTTTGCTATAAAACGAAGGATTGAACAAATCTACGGCGGGTTATGGTACCACTTATCATTCTGGCTGGAGAGAACTTTCGTGCTTTGAACCGAACAGCGAACGGTATATTTTAACGCAGTTAAGAGCACTGCGTGCGCAATGTTTCAATAATGACCGGACAGAACAATTAACAGGTGAAGCTCAGTGGTGTCAATGACCCCGACGCTATATCCTGCGAATGTGACAAAAATAGATATGACTGAAAAAAATAAAATAAAATGCATAATGCCCGCTTCCGTGCAGACAGCACACTTCCGTCTTGGGGCCGATGACTTTGAGTTTGGAAAAAAATTAGAAATGCACGGCCGTAGCCGAATTACGATTTAACGACGTTGTTGTTGCGCTGTAGGGTGGATATGGAAAGGTAAATCTGGGGAAAATTGAGACTAATTTGAAATTTGAACTAAGAACTTCTTTAGAATTCTTGTGATCTGGAACTCGATGAATCGAAAAAGCGATACTAAAAAGAGACAAACTTATACATTAATAGGATTTAAGCCTGCGATAGAATGAAATAAATTACAGTGTACAGTGTTTCCTATTTTATGGAGATTATGCATGTGATCTACAAGCAGTAAATATTAATTAACAAATTTCATAATTTTTTGATTAGACAATATTTAAGTACTTACGATGACGTAATTGAAAACTTGAAGTTTTTGGAATACTGTTACCAAGTTGAAACACATTATACGTGTTTCAACTTGATAACAGTATTATAATAAATAAACCCTACAATTATCATACATACTTACTTAAGAACTCACGCCTGTCACCCCCCCCCCTCTACCTCTTTACCCTTCTGGGTAGGCAGAGACTACAGACTTCCTTTTGGCACGAACCTGACACACCTCTCTCGCCTCCTCCACATCCACATACCTAAGCATACATGCTCGTCGGTTAAGGCTACTCCTAATTTGGCCCATTTCCAATATATCGCCAATTTGGTCGATGAACTTTCGCCTAGGACGTCCTTTTCCGACTCAGCCGTTCACTTCTGCAACGTAAATTTTCTTTGTCACTCTTTCCTCATTCATTCTTTTTGTATGAACAAACCACCGAATCATTCGTTTCTTAATCCTGGTCACAACATCATCTTGCAAATATCTGCAATTATCCTACTCCTTAAACCCTACTTTCGTCTCATTGTCTCGAAGTTTAGTTTTCTGAAGGTTTTACTTCTATCGTGAACTGCACATATATTATATTTTATTAATAGCTGTCAACATTACACAAATGATCATAAAGATGTTAGTTTTATAACTTGTTTATAAAATTCTAGGGGAAACAAATTGAATTATATATGACACTGTAATGTTTACGTACGTCAATATTTTGCTTTGTTTTTTTTATTGTGCTTTGTTCGTCCATTATGGTTAAATGATTTTACCTTTCTGTTCTCAGTTCTCGAGCTATATGAATAATTATTAAAATATTCGCATTAGAACTAGAATAATCTACACTGCGAAATATATAAGTTGAAGTAACAATGGGCCGCTCATATAGCTCAAAGGACCGATAAACCGATGAGAAAGAAAATATCTCAAGTAACATCTTCGTAACGATAAGAATAGTGTAAGGTGGTGCTATTTTATAGTGTGAAACTAGGTAAAACATGCGCGAAGTGCAGTGTGTGAGTGTGAGATGAGTGCAGCTGGTTCAGGATCACGTTTTGTGACAGTCCTTGGGAAAGCAAGGCCTATGTTCAGAATCGGACTTGTGATAGCCTGTAATGATGATGATGACCTTGCAATATATTATATATCTTTAATTTATATTTTCATTGCAGGACGCACCTTTTAATGATACTGATGTTCGGTGGCAAAATATGCAGAGAACCTATTTACAACAGCCTTTTATGAAATGTGATGAATTTTGTAAAATTGTTTTCATTACTTACCATTTTCCTTCCGTATCTTTGTTTATGGTCATCCTACCAATTGTTGAATGCTGGCGGAAATAACCGAACGTGTGACGATCGCTTCCGAGCCGCGTCACAGTGGCCCACGTGTCTCACGTAATAATTACTTTTTTCACATGGTGAACTGCCTGCCTCTGTGAACTTCCAGCAGCTTGCGGAAACTTCAATGAAGGTACTATAAGAAGAAAATAGAAAGTGCGTCCACTTGCGCAAATATAATTGATAACTGCAGAGCCGTGATAACTCAGGCTCACGTTCGCTGTAAACTTCACAGTAGGCGAGCAACCCCTTCGATCCCCGCCAGCACCGACGAAATTGTTAATTTCAGTTTCAAGTGCTGATTTACCTCGTGTTCGGGTGTAAAGGAAAACATCGTCAGGAAACCTGCATGTCTGAGAAATAAGAAAAAATATATATTTCGAAGACATGTGAAGTTGGCCAACATGAATTGAGGGAGCGCGGCGGACACTTCCTTGCCCTAAAACCCTTTCAGAAATGAGAGATCAAATCTGATGTAATGGTTGGGGCCGTCTAGGATATGATCGCCAAACTGCAGACGTCCCGGAATGTGATGTCAACGTTCCGGGAAGTCTGCAGTTTGCGATCATATCCTAGACGGCCCCAACCATTACATCAGATTTGATAGACCATAAATCCTCGCGAAAGTACACTGATTCCTACCAAGGATGATACGTGAGGCTATTGAAATTAAAAAAAACATCCTAATTTCAATAGAGAAGGAGGCTGGGTATTACCACCTGCTTGGGATCCTATAATCAATAAAATTAAAACTAAGCCCAAGCATACCACTGCAAAACCACAGTACATAGTCAGTTCATATTGCATAGATCGGACCATAAACAATAATTAAAAAAGCTGAAGGTACTCCGGGTTTAACAATGACATCGGGACGTCAGTCATCTCAGTCCCCCGTGACCATGGGTGCTGGAAAACGCCCGTAACGTCGGAAATTAAAAATAAAAGTAATTAAAAGTAAAATAAACGCGATAAAATACGTAAAAGTAGTTTTAATCAATGTAAGTGATGCTATTTTATTTGTATTTCGTTTGAAGATACAGTGAATATTGAAGCGAGTTAGCAAAAATCGCATTTCGAATCGTAATAACCACTACAACTTCAATTTTTCTTTGTGTAGGCCGTATCCTACATTATGCATTTAGTACTAAAATTTGGTACAATTTATGATATGTTACTAGAGAAGTATAAATTGATGTTTCAGATGGCTAATCGCAGGTGGTACTGGTAGTGATGACCAAATAAGCGCCTTGGAAATGAGTCAAAAGATGGTGCTGAAGAAGATGAAAGCGAGGAAAATGATGAGGAGGTGCAAACTTACAAAGGGCGAGCGGATCTCCTACGGGTTCTTGAAGATGAACGGGAAGAAGATGAAGAAAGTCCTACCCTGGAACAAGAAGGTCCAAGTCCTAATCCCGCTGAAGAGGGTCCTCCTCTATTGGAAGACTCACAACCTGAGCAGGAACCTGGTGTTCACAGTGTGCAAGCTCGGCGTCAAGAAATGAGAAAATTATTGTGGAAAAAGCAGAGTATGTGGACGTCTGAAGATGATGTGGCTTTTTTGGGCAGTTTAGATTATGGTGAGCTGGCGTCTTTAGACACAAAGTATGACTTTTTTCATTTTTCTTAACTGACGACATTTTAGACACGATTGTTCAAGAAACCAACTTGTATGCTATACAGAAGGATCCTGCTTCCACTTTCACAACTAACATCTCAGAAATCAGAAATTACATTGGCATATTATAGTTTATGTCTGTTATAAAATACCCTAATGTCAGAATGTATTGGTCACCTAAGTATGGATTTGCTCATATATAGGGCTCTGTATTCGAATATTCGTTTTATTCGAATATTCACCTCATATACTATTCGAATAATATATAGAGTAATATTCGAATATTTCGAATACTACAAATAATATAAAAATAAATAGAATTTAATAATAAAATATTTCAAAACATGCAAATAGCAAAAAAAGTAAGAAAATTTGAATGTCGCGGGCTACCCTGGCGCTTTCAGTTTAATGAGAGCATATTATAATTTTTTGTTAGCAATTCCTTCAACAAGTATAGAACCTGAAAGAGTATTTTCGTCATGTAGAATGACATGCAGATACCTTCGTAGCGCCTTAAATGATGAGTGATGACATTCTCAAGAAGTATTGATTAATAACGTTTTGATAAACTTTACTTTTCAATTGTTAAATATTGCTTACCTTTGTTCAAAAGGATATATTGAATATTGATATATTGAAGTCAGATTTTTTATTTCTTAATTTTGAAAAGACACATTTTTTTGTTTGCTAATAGAAGTAGATTTTATAGTAATTTTAAAATGTTAACTTTATGTGTAAGAATAATAATGCAAGAATTTGTTTAAAAAAAAGTAATTTTCTGAGCTAAAACTGGCTTTATTTTTTAACTATTGTACTTTTAGAATAATAAAAATACACATGTATCGAGAAAAATCACTCGTTTTCATGTTTCTATTATTTTTATAAGTAATTTTCTCTGTGTTTAGTGTAAAATAAACTGATTGATAAAAAATTCCGGGTGTCCGGATGTCTGTATGTGTGGATGGCGCACGTCTTTAGATGTAGTAATGTATCAAAATGTATCAAAACAATTCTTTTTTATTAGGTTTAGAATATCAACGTATAGGTTCCTTTTAAAAATCGCTGTAATTTGTTCTCGTTTAATTGTAATTAACGAAAATTTCAAAAAAAAAACTGAAAAAATATTCTCATGGATCTCTTCTTTCGTCTCTTCTTTCGTTCTTTTTATATAATCAAATGAGATTATGCGGCGTGCACTTTTGGATTTTTTGTTATTATTTTTGTTACTAAAGTTTATCTAGTAAGTCTGATAGTGATTTATGCCAATAAGTATTTAGAAAAAAGTTTGTTCGTCTTTTTTCTTTTGAATCTCTACCTAAGTGTCAGTATGCTATAAAACATCCACGAATTATGTGCCGTATATAAGTTAAAAGACACACTGTTAATATAAGTTAAAAGACATGCCTTAAGTAGAAAGTACTCGAAAAATTCGTAATATTCGTATAGTATGTCGGTTGCATTATTCGTTCAATTGCATGACTCTAAACAGATTTGAAAAAATAAAAAGCTTACTGCACTTCAACAACAATGACTCTCTTCTCCCATCTGATCATCCTAGACATGATAAACTACACAAGATTAGACCAATCATAGACCATTTGAATAATCGCATTGCACTCTTTCCTATTGAACAACGCCTATCAATAGACGAACAGAGCAACAAAAATATCACATTATCTAAAACAATATCTTCCCAAAAAGTCCCACAAGTGGGGATTCAAGTCATTTTTGTTATGCAGCATTTCTGGATATGCTCACAAATTTGAAGTGTATGTAGGGGAAAATAATCTTCAAGAACCCAATGAACCAGACTTGGGCGTAACTGGAAATGTTGTGGTGAGACTTGCAAGGCTGGTACCTCGGAACATCAACCATATTATACACTTCGATAATTATTATACTTCTATTCCATTGTCTTGCTACTTACATAAGCAAAAAATTCTTTGTCTGGGTACAGTGCAAACTAACCGACTGCCAAATCATAAGTTACCAAATCCAAAATCATACATGAAGCAAACTATAGCAAGAGGATCGTATGAAGAACACATGACAGCTTACGATGGAACAGATTTATCCGTTACTATGTGGAAAGACATGTGGTTAAATTTTTATCAACCTATGTGGGGGCGGAGCCAGTCCAAAAAACAAATAGATATAATAAGTCTAAAAAAGAAAAAAATTCTAATCGACTGCCCACTGATAGTCAAAGATTACAACTCCCACATGGGAGGCGTAGATTTGTTGGATAGTTATATAGGAAGATACCATATAACCATAAAAAATAGAAAATGGTATGTGCGATTGTTCCATCACTTCTTGGACCTGGCCATGATTAATTCATGGTTAGCTTACAAAGAACTTGTGTCACAAAAAAGTAGTTCAAATGAGAAACTGTGCAACCTGGGCGTCTTTCGTCTAGAAGTAGCTGAAACCCTTTGCCTTATGGGAAGAAATGATATGAAAAGAGGAAGGCCAAGTTCAGCTCTAGAGAAGGAAATTCAGGCGAAAAAGAGGAAAGCCGTTTCCCAAGTTGCACCAGTAAAAAAATGTTCGACTAAACCAAGTGGCACACTGGCCAGTTTTTTGTGACAAAAGTAACAGGTGTAAGATGCCTAACTGCACTGGTTTTACACAAACAATATGTGAAAAATGCAATAAATCACTTTGTTATAATAAAAGAAATAATTTTTCTAGAGAATATCATAATAAATAAGTTTAATTCAAACATTTTGTCTTTTTAATTTTAAGTAAAGTCTTCCTGCATAAAGCTTCTTAGTACATATAAACGTTTTGCTTGAAGTGCATAATGTAGGCTGCATCCTACAGAGATAAACCAGTCAAACATGGACTGAAATTTCTCAAATATTTTTTAATTATTTTTCCATTCATTTACATACCCTCAGACATCATTTACATAATTTTTCAAATAAAATTAAAAAATCATGCATTTAAGGGCACGTATGTGTAGGTATATGCCTATCCCTCTGGGTGATAAGCGTGACTGTTTATGTGTGTTATGTACGATTATCAACCTCCCGGCTAAGCGTGGCAAATATGGCAAAATCCCTCTCTATTAGGCATTCTCTGAGGGAAGACTATGTTCAGCAGTAGACTTTTATAGGCTGTAATTGCTTGAAAAGGTATGTAAAACGCAAATCAATTCAGACGCATGTCATATATTATGCTTTTTCAAAAACCACACGTTACTGTTTCGGTGATTTGATAAAAGCAAAATATTAACATTCGCCGCGAAACTATCAGGTTTCAATTTGAATACAATATGAAATGACTTCCTCGCGACACTTGTAGTGGACTGTCCTAAAAAGTTCATAGGCTTTCACGTCACGTCGTCGTCCCGCGGTCGTCACGTACGGGAGGGACCTAATTGCCTCGGTGCCAAGCGCATAGACAATGCAGCAGTTGATTTTCAATGCTCTCTATTTGTTTGTTGGCGCCATAGACAAATGTTTGTGACACTGTGTGGCACAGAAATGCTTGTAAAATGGGGAATTGAAATATAATATTTACTTTCCTGTAAAATTGGAATTGGGATATTATAAATAAAGGCGAATTGGTGACGGTATAAGAAAATTCCAATTTAGTCCCGTGTGTGTCGTAAGAACTATGGAAAACCCCATTTATTTCATTTATACATTTACATTTATACATTTACATTTATACTATAGAATAAGGGTGACAAACGACAACACGGTTCACCTAAAATGATAAGTGGATGCTTTGTGTGGCCTTTAGACATCTAGATCTATCCTCGATTAAGAATCAAAAAACAGAAGCGTTCACCCCTGAGGACTTATCTGAAATGTCTTATTTTCAGTAAAAAAGTTCTCTACACTCACCATACGAAACACAGCAGCATAGAGCTGCTATTTTACGTTGGTATTCTGTGGGCAGCGACGAAAGCGCAGGTCATTTATAACTGCTATTGCCAAATTATTATAATTATTATAATTCGTTTAATTTTATAACTTGCTTAAAAACGTTTTTCTCGTCTATCGTGCAGGCAGTTTACAAACATAAATTATTGCACAAAGAGAAACATCCAGACCGGGAACAATTATTTGTAGACCATTCAAATACTTGTTCTGTGCGGGATTCGAACCCGCGGCCCCAAGCGCAACTGATTGCTAAGCCACTGCGCCACGAATCGCTTGCCAAGCGTTTAAAATATATAATATTGTACCTTAGTCCCATTTTGATGTGGATCCAAAGTTAACGTAAAACTTATAACGAAAGAAAATGTGCCAACAGCGTCACTTGCCTAGCATATAAAAGACATTTCATAGAACATTGGATTTCTGGTAGTGTGGGTGATGGACTGCGAGCTCTATCATTTCTGTCACAATTTTTCATCTAAAGCCACTCCAGCTAAACGTGATCTTACTCCCTCTGGTATTACAAGCGTGACTTTTCTGAGATCCTTAACATTACGCCATTTCAAAAAAAACATGAATTTTTATTTTATGCACAATGATGCTTGCCAAGTTCATCTAAATAATAAGCGTGAATTCTGAAAAAATAATATTCTCTAATGCCGAGCAACTATCGTTCGCCCAACGCAAGGCCCAGATGTTAGCAGCCTATTGAAGGTCCACTGCTGAACATAGGCCTCCCCATAGGTGCATATGCCACGCATAGAAGGAATGTTTACCATAGTTGCCACGCTTGGCAAGCAGGTTGGCACCCGCATTTCTTTGTGTATTTATTAGCAATATGCCGCTGCTCATCTTCTTGTTAAGCTTCCCTCTGTCGCCTCTTACCATGCCCACGGGATGACATGGGGTAGTGGGTATTCTTACACTTACACCGTCTCTACACGGCTATTAATTATATTTGTGTAAAAATAGGTGGATGCCCGAAAGATAGGGATTCGCATTATGCTGAAGTGCAATAACAGCAGCGATGATAGTACGTCGGTGTCCTTGTCTAGAAATCACTAGTAGTCACCAAACATAAAGTTTTGTCTGAGACATTACTTGCTACTCTCTTAAATAGTGCCTACGTTAGCCTTACTTCGACGACTCCAATATCGTATCGTTCGGGGAAAACATATATCAGCAAGGAGATTGAATCCATAGTGTGTATGTCGCAGCCATCTAATTTAATTATCCTTTTAGTTAACATCCTAGCCTATTTACTAAACAGTGACTTTCAACTATTAGGAACAGGCTTCCTCTTATTTCTGAGGAGAGTTTTAGGGTAAAGAAAAGTATGCCGCATTGCCGCAATGGGTGTTGGCGAACTTTGCATTTCTTCGAAAAAAAAATTCTTATTTCTCAGATATGCAGGTTTCCTCAAGATATTTTCCTTCACCACCGAGCACGTGCTAAATCAGCACTTAATATTGTATTTAACAATTTCATTAGTGCCGGTGAGGATCAAACCTGTTTTGTTTGCGTACTATGTTACAGCGAGCGCTTAGCCCCTGTTCTACCACGGCTCTGTACTGTAAAGCGGCGTGCATTTATGTAGCATAGACATTACGTGGCATTGCCACTGTATTAATTGCATTTATTAAAAAGACTAGGCTGTTAACCGAATGGCTAATTAAGCTAGTTGGCTGCGACATGTACATAACTCGAACGATCGAACGAAATTCTGAAATTAAGTGAATTTATCTTGAAATGAATTTATTGTTAAAAGTATAACAATGAAGCCAGCCCGTAGCAACTTGGTTAAGTGCATATTAAGCTAGACGAGTAGCGTTGACGTAATAGTGATACGTGATCGCCATTGCGATTTCACTATTTGCTGAGTGCAGCGCGCCGCTAGACTACGCCCGACGGCGGCACTTTGTTCTATCCGGCTTCTAGGAAATGTCGAGTTCCTTAGTTTTGAGCTGACTTTAAAAAAAGAAGGTTAACAATTCGACAGTATATTTTTATGAGGGTAGGCGACATCTTTGTCAATAACTGTGAACCAATTTTCATGATTATTTGACTGAATAGGTTACACTTCATTGGTGAAAAAATGCTACACAACTATTGAGACGACATTGAGCTTGTGATATTAATTAATCAACTCAAAATAGTAAAAAAAAAACCTTTTAAAACATCAAAAACCTGCGGTTATCCCGATACCAAGCGTGGCAACTATGGGGAATTCCTCTCTATGAGGCAATGCATGGGGATATGGTTGGCAGTGGACTTCTGATGGGCTGACATGAATGAATTGATAAGACTTGTATGGTATGCTACTTTTGAACTAGAATAGAATAATAGAATAATTTTTTTATTCAATATAGTTTACAATTAATTCTTATTGAAAGTCAATATTTTACGTTACCACTGGTTCGAAAAAAAACCTCTGTCCTGGGAAGAACCAGCATGAAACCCAGCGGGACTTTTTTTAAATAAATTTTATAATGTCAGGGGTGACAAACTATTTACAAAATTTATTTTAGAGACAGCTTGGAAGCGACCACCTCATTCCCAGGGGTTAATATCAACCATGTATTCATTTATTGTCTTATTCTCTATTAAATATTCTATTGACAATTCTATTAACTTCGTACATTACTGTCTTAGCATTGACTTCGGAATGTGAAATAACATTTTTCTTCTTGTTGTTTCAAGTCGCCTTATACTTTTTACTAGATGTTGTCCGCGACTTCGTCCGCGTGGAATTTATGACCTTTGTATTTCATGGGTTATGAGTTTTTTTGCGCGGAACCCTAATTATTTTTCTTAAACAGGAGTAGCCTAAGTTACTCCTCATAACATCACCTATCTGCCAGTGAAAGTCGGATCGAAATCGGTAAAGACATTTCGGAGATTAGTCGGAACAAACAGATACAGATAGACAATTTTTTTTAAAATTGTTTTTTGTTATGATACCGTATATACTTTCATATGCATTAAGTGAACTCAGATGTTATTGTGATATTACAAACAGACACATCAATTTTATTCATTTGTATAGAATAAAGTTAATTTGCTATTAGACAATTTAGCTATGTGATGGCGCTGTAAGATAATCCATTACACCATTTCGTCCGTGTACTAAGAAACGACTATGTAGAATGCTAGGAAGTGGTTTTGAGTATAAACAAATGACACAGGCAGTCGATGAATGCGTTCAGGCGAAGACAGTGATTTGATAAATTTTTGAAGGATGCCTATGTTCTGCAGTGAACTAATGATAGCATGTATTTGCAATGTCTGTTTTTGTGATTCCATAGGACCCAGGCTGTGTATTGAATCATTCGTGCTAAGTAAAAATCTCCTTTAAACTGGACACTGGGGTGTGATTGAACTCTGTAAAGGCGATATTTGGCGGGCGCTAATCTCTGACGTGACTTCCGACAGCGGCCATTCGCACCGGAAGCTGATGCGACGATTCATGCTACGAATACTGATCTACTTTTTTAATCACTCTTTCTAAGTTTTTATTTAGTGATATGCTTATTTGTGTTAGTTTGAGACTAAACATTCTACCAACAACTAAACAATATTTATTAATATCCTCCACACTGAATTTCGGTCACGGCGGCCAGTCGTCTCAACGGGGAGATTTACATGGTGGTACAATATAGTAGTATAGTGGCATGGGTCAGCTCGACCGGGAAAGGA